AACTTTTATACTGTTTATCTGTTGTTGACATTTATAATTTCTTTTTTCTTTTAGGAGCCTCAAACGTGTGTTTGTTTTGTTTTGTTTTTGTTTTTTAACTTAACTATCTTTAAAGGCTTAGAGAACACTAAAAATTTTTGCACTTTCTTCGTAAATTGTTTACCAGTTCTTTAGATTTTAAGCATCATTTCAGTGCTAGGCCCAGATTTTAAAAATTTGTATAAGAAAATAACCTTTTTTAAAAGAAACATCTAATATTTTAGTGTATCTTAAAGTTTTCTCTTTGAGTACATAGTAATCAAGGCCAGCTTGATAGCAAGACCCTGTCTCCAAAAAAAAAAAATCTCCTGTATACAATGACACACATAGGTGCTTGTAATTTTTTTCAAAGGGAGAAAACAAAAGAAATACAATCTTTTTTTTTTTAAGCAATACAATCTTAATAGCTCATTATAAAGAGGAGACTTCATCTTTAGACTCGGCATTTTTGACCTTTTTTCTCTTTTCAACATCTAGTGTGGCCCTCAGATGAAAGTGCTTCCTTCAAACTGCCCGGCATTGCTCCTGCTGCTCGTCACTTGGTCTTTATCTGTCTACCCAAGATTTTACCTTATAGAAAGATAATATGAGACAAAGCCAGACTCTTTTCTTTTTTAACAGAGGAAAGAGCATCCAAATGGGTGTGGGAAAAGTCACTTCATAGGTTCTCCCAGAACACACTTTAGGCTCTTGCTGAGGTGGCACATTTTTAGACAGATTTTCAGAGTGTGTTTTCCCTGTAATCTCTTGTAGGGTAAGATAGTTTTGGTAATACACTGTGCTTCTTTTGATAAGTCTTTTTAAATACATAAATCCCTTTAAAAATAACCTAAGTAGGGCCAGGGATTTAGCTCAATGGCATAAGTGCCTGCCTGGCAAGTGCACAGTTGCAAGTTCGATCCCCTGTACAAAAAAAAAGAAAAAGAAAACCTAAGTAGACAAAGACCCTGGACTGCATTTAATGGAGTGACAGCTAAATGCCTGTAAAATATGCATATCCTGCTTTTAGTGGAATCTGGAAATCAAGGACAGGGTAATTTATAACTCATTAAGGCATGTATATACACAGGGTTTGGGGATTTGAGAAAGCCCTTTAACAATCCTTCATTTTCTTCCTCAAACACGGAAATACTGGGTTATCATGTGTAGCAGGAGCCATGGACTTTAAATGAAATCGAGGACCTTCAAGTAGGGCTCCTGTTCAAGTAAATTTCCATCTCCCAGTCCTCCTTCCCATATTCTTTTTTTTTTTTTTTTTCCCTTCCCATATGCTTTAAGCTGGCTGGGTATTTCTGCAGGATCTTGTAGGCAACTGGTCTGTTATACAGCATCTTTCTAGATGAACAGCACTTCGATGAATACCTTTGGATCACATTAAGTCTCGATTTTGCTTTACTGTCACATGGATGGCTCAGACACTGCCGTATTCAATTCATATTCCTGGCAACGTTCCTTTAAAGTTTCCAGGCTAATTTGGTATATGCAGTTGTGCAGTCTTATGTAACCAGTGGCCCATGCTGATGATTATAACCAAAGGCAACAACATTGTCAGTTAAAATTCTTCAGTGATACTCTATGCCAAATTCTGGGTGTCTTATGTCATGGAAACTTTACATCTTTTTCTGGCCTTTTCTTCTGGCTTTTCAGGCTTCTCCATACATTTAAAAGTATAATGTCAGCCACTAACTGCAGACTCTGCCAAGAGGACATTGTACAATCAGTGCACATCTCAAAATCAGAGTCAGATCTGATGTGTATTCCTTTGAGCATAAAGGAACACATTCTTTGGTCCTATTCAAAATACCTTGTATCAGGGGAAGAGGAAGACCTGTAGAAACAGAAACATGCCTGAACCCAAACCCTAGCTCCATCATTTCCTAGCTGTAAGTTACTTAACCTCTCTATTTCTTCATCTATAAAATATGGACAATGGCTACCTCGGGGTAAGATTTGTAAAGAATTAAATGACAAACCACATTGAAGGGACTAGTGCTGTACTTGGTACACAGTGAACTTGCAATATTAACTTTCCTTATTTTACTGACTAGACAAGTGGATTGGTCAAGTGAGTCACTGTTTATGTCCTTTCTAAACATGTATTTCTAACATTTCAGTTATTATGACAGTAGTTTTGCTGAGCATCTATTATATGTCAAAATCTATACAAGAAAGATGAGGCTAAGTAAGACACGGTAAAAATAAGAAAGCTACCCTTCCCCAAGTTTATAGTCTATTGGAAAAGACAGATGAACATTCCAATAATGAGAGGATAATAAGAACGAAAGAGGAAGCCAAGCAGCCAGGGGAAAACTCCCAGGGGAACTGACACTTGGGTAGCATAAACTTCCAATCAGAAGGAACAATATTTACAAAAGCTTGGAGGCAAAAGAAAGCATGTTCTATTCTGGAAAGTGCAGATAGTTGTGCATCGATGAAGAGAATGCATTCGGGAGTTTAGCAGAATGAAGCTGCAGAGAAGTATTTACAGATTTTCGCAAGCTGATCTAATTTTGAACAGCCCTATAGCAGCTTGCCTGGCTCAGAAGCAATGCTAAGAGCAGTGCTCTAGAAAGTAGTACAGTGTACTAAACTCTCTCTGTGTCCCCTAGACCCTCCCATGTGATAGGTGCCCCACTAATTGTTTGATTGAATTAAATAACTCAGTGGAGTCCTTTGGAATTTACAAAGTGTTTTTATATATGTCATTGTATTTGATCCTCAGAACCCTACAAGTTAAGCCAAATATTTTCCTCATTTTAAATTTGAGGAAATTTGTATACTGTTCAGAATTTTTTTTTTTTTTTTTTTTTTTTTTGTCTTTTCCCTTTTTATCGGTACCGGGGATCGAACTCATGACTGCCTGCTTGCAAGGCAGGCGCTTATGCCGCTAAGCTAAATCTCCAGCCCCTACTGTTCAGAATTTTTGTGCCTCATTTTGTGCCTCTGATCTGCAGATAGAAATAGCCTTGCTGTCAGTCTCTCCATTCTCTTTCACGTTCCACATGAAATTCATAATCACCCAGTGAACGATCTGCCTAATCTGAATTTAGCATGTATCTTGTTTGAGGTACTCTTAAACTGCATGTTTCAAGATGTTGGAAGTGGAAGCCAGATGTGGTGTCACACACCTGTAATCCCAGTACTTTGGATTTGGCTGAGGCAAAAGGATCATTTTAAGTTTGAGACCAGCCTGGGCTACAAAGTGAGGTCAAGGCCAGCCTGAACTGCATAGCAAGACCCTGTCTCAAAAGGACCAAAAAAAAAATGTTAGAAGTGGGCCAAGGATATAGCTCAGCAGCACAGTACCTGCCTAGCTAGCATGAGATCCTAAGTCCAATTTCCAGTAACAACAACAACAAATAATAATAATCAAAAATCAAGGTATTACAAGTAAAGTTGGCTCAAAGTTATTAAGTGCAGGAAATTACCTAAATAAAACGTTAGCCTGTGTTCATTACAACATAGGCTGGTTTTACAGAGTCAGGAGCAGCAGTGGTTTTTTAAAAATGTAATATAACTGACATGATTTGATCACTACAATTTTAAATCGGTCCAGGCTATGTCATTTACTCTAGAATACCTTCTTAAAGGGGTTATTATTATTGTTGTTATTATTGTTATTATTATTATTATTATGTTCCTTGTGCTACGTAGTGCAGTGAAATGGTCTTGTGGGCCTGCATAGCTCCTTTACAGCCTTCTGGTACACATGCAGATGTTGCTTGCCATACCATTTGGCTTGAGTTAGATTGTGCACTTCTCAAATGGTTCTTTTCCTTCAAGTAAATTCCTTCTTTTCTTCCACTTGGAACACCATTCTTAACAGGTTAGGAATAAGTCATTCTTTACAGTGGTATCCTCTTACACATGTCTTCGGCTTACATAGTTTAAAACCTTCTCCTGTGGGGAGAGGCATTTGCCCCAGGAGGAAACTTAGTGTGTTTCCAGTACTTACCTCTTTTAGAAATTGGAGGTGTTGTATCATTCATCTGTGAAGGAACACACCACAGCTGCTGATTATTTTGTTTCGATAGTTTGGATGGCATATTGGATACCATGACTGATTACAGTGAGTCTGTGTTAGATGGGTTCAGCATTTGTCTCCCTGCCACGCCAAGTCTAGATTTTAGTTGCTCCATTAGGAGCTGGTGTGAAACACACATGGCGTACAGAGATATAAAATTCTTTTCAGCCTCATCAGGCTCCACAGGAGCATGTTTTGATTGGTTTATAAGTTGCTCTGGATAGTAATGAATTAGCCTTTCAGAGATGAAGAAAATAACCAAACATGGTGGTATACATCTCTAATCCCAGCTCTCAGAAACCTGAGGCAGAAGGATCACCAAGGTCGAGGCCAGCCTGGACTACATAGTGTGACCCTGTTTAAAAAAACAGAGACTGTCTTATACAAGAAAGATCATAAGTGTTGGATACTGTATGAAGCACATTAAAAGTATTTTCCAGATTAATCATGCTACAGAAATTTGGCCAAAATGAAGTTGAACTGCTTAAAATGTGTGTAGTGAAGAGCAGTTCATTCTTTTGACCAACTTGAAGCTAAAATCCTTACTTTATGTTAGTGTTAATATTTTGAGGCTTCTTAAAAATCATTGCCGGGTATGGTGGCTCATGCCTTTAATCCCAGCACTCAGGAGCTTGAGGCAGGAGGATGGATGTGAGTTCAAGGCCAACCTGGGCTACATAACGTTCAAGGACAGACTGAACTACATAGTGAGACTCTGTCTCAAAAAAGAAAAAAAAATCACCATTGCCAGGCTTGGTGACACACACCTATCTATAATCTTAGCACTCAAGAGGCTGAGACTAGAGAATCACCAAGTTTGAGGTCAGCCTGAATTACACAGTAAGACCCTACCTTAAAAAATCATTGAGTCTGAGTTTGTTATGTCTCCCTACTTGTTCCTAATCTTCTTGCTTTGTATGTGTTCGTTCATTTGTAGAGTATAAATGGCATTCGCACAGAGGTGATGGCTGTCATGACAGAGGGGCCTGCTAACCTTGACTCTGAATGCGAAGGCCCTAAGCAGTCAGTAGTTCCTAGTCAGAGACAGATGACCGTCCCAGTGGAGTCTCCGCAGAGCTTTGACTTTGGCTCCCTCTCCATAAGCAGCGAGGAGACAGAAGAGAAGGAGCAGGGGGCGGCCGGCTGTCTTGATATTAAGGAGATGCCACGAGGCCCAAGTGGGGAATGTGCAGGAGTGGAGGAGGCCAGTACCTTAAAGTTCTCAGGATCACCAGCTGCCTGTCAGCTGCAGCTTGGTGAAAAAAGGTCAGACAGTAGTGAAGATCCCGTTACGCCAGGAGAGCCATTCGGAAAACAAAACGGAGCATTTCTTGACTCTCGTGTGGGTAACCAGTTCCCCACCTTCATTCGCAGTTTCCAGGTAGTAACTGACTCGATGGTGCAGGTCCAGTGAACCTTTGGGAGAGGGCCAGAATCTAATCTGTGGAGGAGGAGGTGGTGGTAGTGGTGGTTGTGAAGGTTGTGGCCTCTCTGCTCTTTTCAAAATCACAATAAAATAAAGCCTTTGATTGTTATGAAGAAATTCATTCAGAGGAATTAACCCCATGAGTAGAAATGCTTTCTCCATAATGACTTCACAAAACTCATGGGAGTAAAATCTCCAGCTCTTTATTTTGTGAAGCTGGCATAAATTCATCTTTTGCTTGCTCAAATATGGGCTGTGGGGAAAGGTGAATTGTGGAGACTTCTTGTGATCATGATCAAAAGATTCCAGTACTCCTAACAAAAGTGGCAACTGATCTTTGGATGAGATTTCATGCCCCAAACAGAAATAGATACTGCGGCCACCACTCCCACTGACCCCGCTCCCAGGGGCTCCGCTGATCACAGGCACTACCTTCCTATGCTGCGGTGGATGGCCTCGTAGCCCTGTCACAGCTGGAGGGTAGGCTGTGGGTGGTCTGTAGTGTGGGGGAAGATGGACAAGAAGGCTTTTCATATTTCACTTACGTTCACTCTTCTGAAACTCTGAGGTTAATCACAAGGTGGTGGTAGAACTGATTTTTTTTTCTTTCTAGTTTTCCAAATACTGTTTTTCCTCAGTAATTCCAAAGAGAATGTCTGACATTGATTTGAAAGAAGTTAATGAATTCCAGGGTAATGCATTCCAGTGCCTCTGCTGTTTCATGTACCATTTGTACTTAGTGGAGCAAATGTGGCTGATTTTCTTAATTATAATGGTAGAGCCAAGGACAAATGAAAGAGAGTGCTATTTGGCAAATAGTTTTATTTTTAAATTTGGAAGGTCAGTCTAGAGTATTTTATATCACCGCTCATAACTCTGATCTTATAGTTTTCCATTAAGCTTATGAGAGTGCTTACAGTAATGCTGCTTCTTAATGTCCTTCCTGATGTTACACCTTGTCAGGCTTGCTTTGGAATGGCATCCAAGTCTCAGGTGGAGGAAACACCTTGCAGATTGGGCACGCCCTTTGTTTGATTCAAGCAAACACTTTGATCAGATCAATGTCAGAGGGCTTAGTTCTCCACAACTGTCAGAAACACTCTGCTAACACTGTCTATTTCCTGCTTCACAGCCTCCACTGGTGAAGACTCAGACTGTCACCATCTCAGACACAGCCAATGCTGTGAAAAGTGAGATCCCCACCAAAGACGTCCCTATTGTCCACACTGAGACCAAGACCATCACATATGAGGCTGCCCAGGTAGGATACCATTCATGCTTCAAAACCAAAGACTGGTGTAAATACAGCAAATAACCTTCTTTTTCACAGAGTTTCTAGTCATTTACTGCAAATAATGCCAGATGTAGGCTGGCAGTTCTTTTTAAAAGAGATTACTGGCTGGGCCTAGTGGTACACATCTATAATCCCAGCATTATGGGAGGCTGAGGCAGAAAAATTGCTGCAAGTTTGAGGCCAGCCTGGGTTACACGGTGAATTAGAGGCAGTCCTGAATTAGACAACAAAAAATACTGTCTCAAAAAACCAAAACTAGGGGCTGAGGATATAGTTCAGCAGCACACAGTGCCTGCCTGGCAAGCATGAGGTTGTGAGTTCAATTTGCCAGTACAGGAAAAAAAAAAAAAAAACAGAAAAGGAAGAAGAAAGAGGGGGAAAGGAAAGAGGAAGAAGAAGAAATGCTGATGTAAGGATGCCATAAATATATTTCATTAAAGGCAAAATTATCAGGAGTGTAGCTCGGGGGTAGAGCTTGGGCTTAACATATGTGAAGCCCCGAGTCGGGGACGTGGGACCCATGAGATGGGGTGCAAGAGGGAGACTGCTGTAACCAGGGAGGTCCTCTCTCTCGTGGTGAATTTTGGTAGAGCGTTGAATGCTGGCAAGGAGGCCGCTGCAGGAAGCTCCGACTGAGTGCTTTCAGTTAATCCTCAGCTCACCACAAACTGGATGGCATTGTCTTCTTTCAGGAAAAGAGTAGCTTGGTGCATTTATATGCAGTTAGCCATATAGAATTGTGTGCATCCTAACTCAACCTAACTCAGCTACATCCTAACTCAACCAGATAAGTACTAGCTAATTTTAGACAAAATTGCCAGTTACTCTAAAGTTTTGTTTCCTGGCTGTAATTTGGGGCTAATACTACCTACCCACTACTGCAAGAGTTGGAGGAGAATCAATGAAATGATGTCTGTAAAGCACTCGGTAGATTGATAGACATCCCCAGTGTCAGTGTGCTTTCCCGTTCTCCCTCATTGTGCTCTAGAGTGTGGGAGCATGGTCAGTGAGAAGTTACTTAAAAGGTTTTTAGTGGTGGTAATAAAGTAGCATAGTTAAGCAGTGATTTTGTAAGATGATTCCTAAAGCTGTATGCTGAATATGTTAGGAGGAAGCCTGAACAAGAAATGACAAGGGCAGATCTGGGGAGATGCTTATGCAGAACTCAGGGTAGCCTTAGGAAATGAGAAGGAAAAGTTGTGTCAGTCAGGAGAAACAAATGAACGAGTAGGACCAGTGATACAGCTTAGTGGCCCAGCACCTTTCTGGCAAGCATAAGGTCATGAGTTCGATGGCCAGTACCCTCCCCCAAAATGAAATGAAATGAAATGAATGAGTAGGACTTGGCAATGAAAGATACTGAAAAGGAAGGAAAAGAAAATTACTTTTAAGATTATATACAAGGGGCTGGGGATTTAGCTCAGCGGCATAAGCGCCTGCCTGCCTTGCAAGCGAACAGTCAGTCATGAGTTCGATCCCTGGTACCAATTAAAAAAAAAAAAAAAAAAAAAAAAGATTATATACAAAAGGGGGGCCTAGGGATTTAGCTCAGCGGCATAAGCGCCTGCCTTGCAAGCAGGCAGTTGTGAATTCGATCCCCAGTACCGATAAAAAAGAAAAAAGACAAAAAAAAAAAAAAAAAAAAAAAAAAGATTATATACAAAAGAATTACTAGCATAGGGGCCAGGGATTTAGCTCAGTGGCATAAGCACCTACCTGGCAAGGGCTAGGTCATGAGTTCGATTCCAGGTACCAAAAAAAAGAAAAGAAATTATTAGCACATAGGAGGGCATCCCTTTAAATTGTCTCTGCTGTGAAAGCAAACTAAATATCCATCAGAATTATGGAGCATCCAATTAAGATAATTCTGTGTGGCTTCTGATAAGAACAGTCTACGTGGTAAACATGTGCATGAACAAATGTGGTGCAGTGTGATGTGAATGGCACGCTTCTGTTTCTAGAAGGGAGAAAGGAAGTTTATATAGCTGTGTATATAAGAGCTCTGAGTGCGTAGCCTAAGATAGCAAGACACTGACTCTGAATGGATATCAAAAAATAAAAGAACAAGCAGTGTGTAGCTTCTGATGAATGAAACTGTAACTACGAGAGTTTGATCAAGAATAAAAGGGAGACTGACTTTTCACTGCACACTATTTTCAAACTTTTAAATTTTGGCCAGACATGGTGACACACATCTGTAATCCTAGCACTCGAGGCTGAGGCAGGAGGATCACAAGTTTGAGGGCAGTCTGGGGTCAGTAGTGAGTTTCAACGCCATCCTGAACTCTGTAGTGAGACCTTGAAGAAAGACAGAGAGAGAGGGGGAGACGGGTGAGCATACATATCAAAAATTCTTAATGGCTCAAAAGAAATGGTTTTAAAAGCCAGAGTCACACTGCCCACAGAAAACTGTAGTTTGAGCAAACCCTTAAAAATGGAAAGAAGTCGCTTAAAAATATCCTATCATGTAAGAGAAGTATAAAGTTAGCAAGATGTGCTAGACCGACCACATGGCTTTGGAGTTAGATTTGGATCTCAGTTGTAACTTAATCGTTTTGTGACCTTGGGGCAAGTTGTTTAACTTTTTCAAGCCTTAGTTTATCTTCTGGAAAGTATTTTTATAGTCACTGAAATAAAGGTAATGTTTGGTAGATATTCGAAAATGATAACTGACTATATTATATTGTTATATATATGACTATTATTTCATTTTAGCCAGGCTTAAGAGAGCCAAGATATAAATTGCTTTTGGTTGTTGATATTAGACAGTGCTGTAGCATAAGGAGGAGTGCTGCCTACAGAGTAAGACTCCCTGGGTTTGAATTTGCTCTAGCACTTACCGCGTGCAGTCAAGTTCCTACACTGGTGTATCTCAGTGTCTTCATTTGTAAAATGTAGCTAGTAGTTCTACCTCATGGAGTTGAGGAATAAATTAATATACATCACATGTTTCCAAAGTGTCTAGCACATAATAAGCACCAGGTGTTTATTTGCTGTCCTATGTATGTATTTACTGTAACCATTTATGCTTTTGTTATTATCTTGCTTGACAAATAAGCCCAAATATCATTTTCTTTTATTTGTTTATACTCACACTTTGGACACATGGTAAAAGCAGATAGGGAGCCAGAAGTAGGCTTTCCATGTGTGCCTGTGAACATGAGGTAAAATTTATACATAGCAAAATGCACAGATTTTAACTGTTCAGTTTGATTGGTTTTGACAAATGTCCATACTTAAATGACCAAGACACACTTAGGTTACAGAACATTTCAATTAACCCTGAAATTTTCTTCATACCTTTTCCATTTGGTCCTTAACCCTCCAGGCCACTACTCTTCTGATTTTTTATTTCTATCACTATAGCCACATTTTGCCAGGCTTTGGGACCATATAAGAATAGAAGTATATGGTAGTATACTTTTGTGTCTGGCTTCTTGAACATAATGTTATTTAAATTCTTTTCCATTATATGAATTAACAGTTCACTCTTACCTATTGCTGAATAGTATACCACTGTGTGAGTATACTACAATTTTTATTCTTTCATTTGTTAATGGAAAATTGAGTTAATTCCAGTTTGGGGCAAATATGAATAAATCTGCTGTGAACATTCATGTACAAGTTTTTTTGTGTACATTTATCTTGGGTAAGCACCTAAGAGGAGAATTGCTGGGCTGTAAGGTAAGTGGATATTTATAAGCGATTGTTAAGGCCACAGTATCATTTTGAGGAAAGGGTAGTAAGCAAATCAAGGAAAAGAAACCCCAAGTGGAAAAACAAAAGTAGACAACTAGGAAATGCAGATTAAAACTGCATCGAGAGGCCAGCGATTTAGCTCAACAGCATAAGCACTTGTCTGGCAAATGCAAGGTCGTGACTTTGATCCCTGTTGCCAAAAAACAAGAAACTACACTGAGATTCCATCTCTCACAAGTTAGAATGGCTATCATCAGGGATACAAAAACAATAGGGGATTTAGCTCAGCGGCATAAGCACCTGCCTTGTAAGCAGGCTGTTGTGAGTTCGATCCCTGGTACCGATAAAAAGTTTAAAAAAAAAAAAAAAAAAGAACAAACAAAAACAATAAATACAAAGACTTGTGGGAAAAGCAGCCTTTCTATAGTGTTACTATGGAAATCAGTATAGTAGTTGCTCAAAAAACTGAAAATAAAGTTACTGTTTGCTCCAGCTATGCCACGCCCGGTGTATACCTGAAGGAGTTAAATCAAGTCAGCAGACCATAAGGACGGCTGCAAACCCGTGTTTATTGTGGCATAGTTCACAATAACCAGATACAGAAACAGCTAGGTGTCCATCAACAGCTGAAGAATAAAGAAAGTATAATATAAACCTTGCATGTGCAATGGAGTATTAACAGCCATAAAAACAGCGAAATTTTGTCATTTGCAGGAAAATGAATGGACTTGGAGGTTATCATGTTGAGTGAAATGAGCCAGACTCAGAAAGACAAGTATTCTGTGTTCTCTCTCATACGTGGAGTGTAAAAAAGATGACAAGAAAGTATAAAGGAGACTACTATTAGACAAGAGGAAGAGAGGAAGGGGATGTTAGGATGGCTGTAATGCGGGTGTGGATATTATCAAAATATCTTATACACATTGAAACCAAAAAATATGAAACTGGGGGGAGGGCGGGGCAAAGGGGATAATTGAGGGCAATGGTTAAAGTGTGTAACGTGCGTGTCCTGATCTGCCCAAATGAGATCCATGCTCTGTGTGACCACCAGGCGCTGATCAGAATTGGGGGAAAGGAGGTAGACACAGTGGTAACATTCATCCATCTTCGCCTTTATCAGGGACAGCAAAGACAGCCACGAGTTCATAAAGAACAATCTGCAAAAAGGTTCAGACCTCCTGGCATGAAGATTTATATTTTTGCAGTGTTTTATTCATTCATTTGTTTATTTGTTTTGGTTGGGGATTTGTTTTCTTGAGTCAAGAAGCTCTGTAATTCAGGCTGGTCTTGAACTCGCCATTTGGTCCAACCTGGTCTCAAACTCACTGTGATTCTTCTGTCTCAGCCTTCCAAGTGCTGGGATTGCGGGTGTACACCACCACACCCAGCTATATTACAGCAAATTTATGAAGCATTTTTATTTCTATAATTTCCTTGGATCTTCTCAGCAATGCTATAGTGTAAGCAAAACATGGGGAAAGTATTGTCTTTTAGAAATGAGAAAACTAAGGCTCAGATAAGTTAAAATGATTTGCTTAAGGTCCAATAGCTAGTTACTGTCTGACCTGGAACACAAACCCAGTCTTCACACATGAAGTTTCTTTCTTGGTCTCTATCCTAGTTCAAACAACTACTAGCTGTGGAACCTTGAACAAATTATTTAACTCTCTGGGTCTCGGTTTTCTTAATTGCATGGTGAGTATAATAGTATATACCTCAGATATTGAGTGATTTTGTTGAGTAATGGTTGCATGATATGCTTGGCACATACTGGGAATGCAGGAAATGTTAGCTGAATCTAAGATGGATAAGTGGTCTTAGCTAACAAAAATGTTACCAAACTAGCTAATACTGTCCCTGGTATGATGGTAGCATGTGTATAAGACTTAGGTGTCACAATTAGTTCCCTCTTAGTTTTATCCAGACTTCTACCTGAAAAGGAGCCCAGCCAAGGACTCTGCTGCTTCCTGATTCTCTTCTCCTCTATCTGTCTCTTCTTCTACTATCTCAGAGTTTGGGCTGAATGAAATGTGATTCTGCTCATAAAAGTAGATACAGTGGCACACACCTGTAGTCCCAGCTTCTTGGGAGAGTAAAGCAAGAGGGTCCCATGAGCCCAGAAGCTTAGGTCCAGCTTAGGCAACAAAGCAAAAGCTTGTCTAGAAAAGAGAAAAAGTTGGCAGCCTCTGCTTAGGACACAAATGACTTCTATGACTTCAAATGACTCTTTAAGCAGAGTACCAGGTGCAGGGTGGATGCCAGTAATTCCAGCTACTTAGGAAGCTGAGACAGGAGAATCACAAGTTTGAGACCACTCGGGGCCACTTAGTGAGACCCTGTCTTAACAAAGAGGTCTGGGGATGTAATTCAGTGACAAAGCACTGCTAAATCCCTAATACCACTAAAAGGGGGGGGGGGGACGCACAAAGGTAGTAACACATTTTTGCTACAGAGTTCTTTATGAAAATAATCACAGTTCTCTTAAACCTCCTCCCCCCGCCACTAATACGAGGTATTTTAGGTCACCATTAACTGAAAACCATGTTGCCTCCCTCCATATCCCATTTTTTTCCATCTTAGTCAGGAAGGCATCTGGCATCAGCAGCCTTAACAGGTCAGCTTTTCGTTTATAATTGTTAGGCTCGGCCTGGCTCCTGCCAACCATTGCTTTCCCTTTTTATTCCCTTTTTGCTAATGTTATTACCCAGCCTGACCACAGCATATTGCTTTGATCATGAGATAGTGAGTTCTGGAGAAACCAGTATCCCAGCCCTGTTTCTCTGCAGAGATTAGTTGTAGAGCCTGGTGTTGTAAGTCCTTACAAAATCCCACCTAAGAAGAAGGACCCCATTCAATAATAATTTTGTTGTCACAAATGTTATTAAAGCATACTATGGATATTTTCTCCCACTTTCTCTGAAAGGAAAGTTTCCAGTTTTCCTTTAAAGAACATGGCCTGAAACTCTTGTCGTCTTAGTCCCAGCCAGTTTCTTTCCCACTGTTTTCTGGAAAATTCTATCCTATGATGGAGAGCCTATCTGCACCTTAGAGCTAACAGTTTACAGCTGTTTTCTGCCTTGGATGATGTGTAAACACCAGATCTGGAGAGAGAAAGCTGCCAATTCCTTATTTTGAGTGCAGAAGCACATCACTCACCTTTGTGAAGCTGAGCTTATTTTCTTTTCCTCTTATCACCCAATACTGAGGATTAAACTCAGAGCCTCATGCTGCTAAGCAAGTGTTCTACCACTGAGCTGTACCACCAGCCCTTCTCCTCTACCCCCTGCTTTCTTCCTCTGCCAACTTCCCCCACACCTCCTCCCTTCCTTTTTTTTTTTTTTTTTTTCTTTTTCTTTTAAGAGTCTTACTCTGGGGGGATTTAGTTCAGTGGCATAAGTGCCTGCCTTGCAAGCATGCAAACGTGAGTTTGATCCCCAGTACTGAAAAAAAAAAATTAAAAGAGTCTTATTGTGTAGCTTTGACCTCAACACTTGCTATCTTCCTGCCTCAGCCTCCAGAGTAGCTGGGATTACAGGTGTGCGCCACCACACACACCCAGCTCAGTTTTCTTTTGCTTTTTTCTTTGTACCCAAGATCAAACTTACAACCTTGTGCTTACCAGGCAAGTGCTTGAGCTGCTGAGCAGAATCCCCTGGCGCAGCCTGAGTTTTCTTAATAAAGGGCACTAAAATTTCTGCCCCTTTTATTAATTTGAGGAGACTGGCATTAGCATTTAAAAGGCATTTTGAAAGACATTTGTGAACTATAGGATACGTGCGTGACTACAGTTAATTGCTGTCACTGTTGTAGAAACAATGGCTGTAGCCTTCTGTTTCTGAGCTCCTGTCACTGACCCAGTGCTAAGGAACTACTTTTGTAGAAGGAGCCTCATTCCCAGGGGATTTGTTCTATTTATGAAGCGGTCACTGGGAGGGAATTAGAGTTTTGCATTAGAATGCAGAGCCCAGAATAAAGCTGTAGCTTGTGACACTTGCCCACCAGGCATCCTGCTAGGCTAAGTGATGAGTTCTGCTTTCTTCTTCAGACTGATGACAGCAATGGGGACTTGGACCCAGGAGTCTTGCTGACAGCCCAGACCATCACATCTGAGACCACAAGCAGCACCACCACAACTCAGATTACCAAGGTAACAGCAGCCAGAGCTCCCATATGAAACCTAGTAGCACACCAAGCTTGTTCTGCCCCTTGGAGAAATGGACCCCAGTCCATAAGTGAAGGCTTCCAGCTGAGCTCCATCCCTAACTGAGCTAAACTGGTCCCAGTGCCCCAGGTTGCTGTGCCTAGGGAGACCATGAGAGCACCCTTGCCTACTTAGCAGTCTCATAAAGCCTCATGTCGTCATTGTCTTTATCTGTTTTTCTGGAGCTATGTGGCTATGGAACTAAGTGTAAAAGTGCCCTTGGGCCTGGCATGGTGGCACCTGCTTGTAATCTTACAAGGCTGAGCCAGGAGGATTGTAAATTTAAAGCCAACCCAAGCAATGATGAGACCTTGTCTCAAAAAAAATAAAAAGGACAGGAAATGTAACTCAACGATACAGTGACCTCGAGTTCATCCAGTACCACCAAAAAAAGGTGGAATAAAGCTCAGTGGCAGAATACAGCCTAGTACTTGCTTAGCCCTGGGTTTGCATCCCAGCATCACAAAAAAGAAGGAAAGCCAGTCTAAGGGTAGGTGTTATTATGATAAAACTGCTTGCCAGGCCAAAAATCAGAATTCCAGGCCTGACAAACAATTTTTATGTCATGTCTAAGACCAAAGCTATAGAAATTACAGTTTAGATGTTCAATATTGAAATGATATAGAATATCATTTAAAGGCTGGAGATGTAACTTGCTTAGCGTGACAAGGCCTTGGGTTCAATAGCCAGTAGGCAAAATAAAACAAAAGAACATGGTTTATAGGAAACAGCAGGAATAAAATATCTAAAATCAAACTCCCCTCAGAAAACCAGGGGCAGCACTAGAGGAAAATGCATTTTCTTTTCTTTTCTTTTTTTTTTTTTGTCTTTTTCTTTTTTTATCGGTACCGGGGATCGAACTCATGACTGCCTGCTTGCAGGGCAGGTGCTTATGCCACTGCGCTAAATCCCCAGCCCCGAAAATGCATTTTCTTATAGGTAAGAAGTTTAGGTTTTTGACCAAAGTGTGTCATCAACACACAGATGACTGAAAGCCAGTGATTTAATTTGCCTAGAGCTTGGTTTTCCTCATTTGTTGTGGAAACCTACCTACCTTCAGGAGATAATTTGAGGAAAAATGCTTTAAAACAGATCTCAGTTTTAAGCTGTGTGACTCTTTTGTTCATAGTCTTCTGATTCTTTTTCTTCCTGAAGAAAAAAATATGAAGAAAGAGAAGTAACTTGTTTTGCTAACTTGCTGGATGTCTGTGGTGTTTGGGAGCAAGAAAAAAGGAGAATGTGAACAAGTGGAGAACTGTGTTTTTGCATTCAGCTTATTAAAAGTGTTAGCAATCCAGGAGAGCACAGGAATGTTCATTTTGCAAGTCCTGCCAGGTGTGGGGATAGTCCTAGCAGACCGAAATGTGGAGCCTTCGGCCTAATGTCTGCTGTTTTTTTGTTTTTCTTTCTTATTACACTGCTGATCTCATCTGTCCACCTCCTTTGGCTCCAGACTGTAAAAGGCGGGATCTCAGAGACTCGGATTGAAAAGAGAATTGTGATTACAGGAGATGCAGACATTGACCATGATCAGGTAAGAATGCCAAAGCATGGGACGAGGACAATTGGAGCTTCAGAGATACCTCTACCATCATCATCTCTAAAAAACTTCTCTGCCCACTCCAGCTCTTTTTTTTTTTTTTTTTTTTTTTAATTTTTTTTTAAAATTTTATTTAAGGAGAAAAGAAAAAAAGCAGAGAAAGGGTACAAGTTATACAGATTTGCAGAAAAAAAATGAACAGTAGGAAATTACTAGTTAATGGATTACATATTGTCATCTTAGAAATAATTGTTCAAGTCACAAAATTAAAGCTTGTAAAGTGGACATTCCATCAATGATACTGCAAACAGTTCTGTTCAATGATCCAATAAAACTCTGTGATATCATTTTCTATCTTATACACTTAAATATACATGCAGTTATATAGTACAGAGCACTTTCTTTTCCTCTCTTTTGTACAATGACTATTACACATTTTGGGTTTCATTGCTCCCATGGTTCTTATTACTTTTTTGGAAGAGAGTAAAACCAAATGTGACATAACAGAACAGAATCGGTCAAGTCAAAAGGGTGGACATAATAGATAATGTGAAAACATAATACAAGGTGATCAACAATGGTTACCATAATGCCTCCCGCTATCTCTAATAGAATTGCCTATATTGTTAGTTACAATACAATTGAACAAAACTGTAAAGAATAAAACCGACAAAACCAAAACATTGGAGACATTGTAGGTCTTCAAAAATAGATAAAAGTCAATGAGAATGGGCGTCATAATGAATCTCATTATCTTCACAGCTGATGCCTAAATTTTCGAACCTGATACTATCCAGCAAAACAGAATGGGGGAACATCAGTTAAAAACCAGATGGTGAGAGTAATACAGGGCTTTAAATCGAGGTAATGGAAAGTCAAAGTGGGTTACTATAATATATCCTGCTATTTTTTTCCTTTAATTAAAAGGATAAAAATAAAAAAGTAAATAATGGAGTGGAGATTGAGATAAAAGAGGGCATAACAACGAAACAGCACAGATCAAAACATAACCATTTAAGCAGAATAGTGTTTCACCACCAGATAATCCTGACCTAAAAGTAGTTACCATATTATCTCTTTCCTTGAAATCCTTGAGTACAACTTCGTATACTGTAGCATTAAGTATATCAAAACAATGTAAAACCATTCAAGAGAATGACAGCATTACAGAGTATTTAGAATCGACTAACAGAAAATGAACAATGGTTTCTGTATAATCTCCTTGTCTTTAAAAGGTTTTTGCTTATACTATCATACATAATAAAATCCAGTAAGATACAACCTATTTGGACCATTGGAGACAGAAGGACAAAAGCTAGATGAGACTTCAAAACAAGATGATACTAAATCAGTATTACCTATTAAGATGTCATTTTCTCCAAAATAGCTGTTCCTATCATCCAATCTTCTCTGCCTCATTTCTGTTGAGCTCTTATTCTGTCAGTAGCTGTCAGTTTGTCTTCTTCACTTTGTTCTCTGCTCCATTCGTTGTGGCCTCCATTATTTCTGGATTCTTTGTATTTTTCTTTTTTTAGAATATCCTGCAATACTCTCTGTAGAGTTGAATTGGTGGTTGCAAATTCCCCCAGTTCCTCTTTATCCTGGAAGCACCTTGTTTTTCCATCAATTTCGAGGGACAGTTGTGCAGGATATCTCAATCTTGGCTGGAGATTATTATCTTTCAAAGCTTGAATTATTTCCCCCCAAGCTCTTCGTGATTTGATGGTTTGTGCAGAGAAATCTGCTGTAATTCTGATGGGTGCTCCCTTGTAAGTGGTCTGCTTCTTGTCTCTGACAGCTTTTAATATTCTGTTCTTGTATTGAATTTCTGGAATTTTTATTATTATATGCCTGGGTGTTGCTCTGTTTGGGTTGTAGGTAGCTGGGGTCCTGTATGCCTCATACATCTGAGTATCTTTACCTTTTGCTAAATTAGGAAAATTCTCCTGGATTATTTCTGTGAGTAGCTTTTGTAGTTCATTTGTTTGTGTCCCTACTTCTTCTTTTATGTTCTTAATCCTTAAGTTATGGCTCCTCTTATCATCTTCTTGTCTTTGTATTATTGCTGTTTGTTTCTTTGTTATTTTTAAGAAGTTTTTCATTTCATTCTCCCATATTACAATTCTGCCCTCCAGTTCAGATAGTCTGTCCTTAGTTTCTTTCAAGCTGTTATGCCAGTCTTCGATAGACTTCTTAGTTTCTTGGTAGTCCCTTTGAACCTGCTTCACGTATTCTATGCTTTCCCTGTTTTCTCCATCAAACACTTCTCCCCTCTTTTTCTGTTCTTCCATTCCACCATCTGTTTTTTCTTGGGTGGTGCTTAGTATTTCTCTAACTATTTTGCATACTTCTAGCTTCAGGTCGTTGATAACTTCATTCCTGAATTGGTCTATGAGGCTCTCTATATGGCGCCTTATGTGTAATGGTGCGGTGTCTGTTATTGCCTGTTTCTCAGAATTGGGGGCCGAGGAGCCTTTCTTGTTGCTGCCTCTTCCCATATTCTCTGTTCCTTATGTATGCAAGCTTATATGAGAGGCCTAGCTTCTCTCTCTGTCAGCCACAGCCTGATCGAATTGCGCCGGTTAGGTGTTTCCACTCACTGCTGCACACCAGGCAGCCTACGCGGGGGCCCGCCCCTCCCGGCCTCCGTCAGGCTCTGGGATCTGGGTTGGGCCAGCCTACGGGGTCCGCCGGCAGAGTCACGCAGGCCAGGCACTTTTCACCAATCCCGCCCGAGAGGGGAATGTGTGGCTGGATTCGCCACTGCGCCCTGCTCCCGCAGGACTGCTCGGGAAAGTGTGCTGGAGTCAAACTGTGGTGGAGTGTCAGTTTCTCTCACTCACCTCGCCACAAGTCAGAACATGCCTCCCTGCCCGTCCTGTTTTCGACTCCGTTCGCAGACTCCCGTTCTCAGAGTTTCCGCGCGTCTCTCTCCTTGCCGAGCTGATGTAGAGGCAGCCAGCCACCGCGCGGCGGGAAACCCAAATGGCGTGGGGTCCAGCCTCAGCAGCGAGGCTTTTCTGTTCCTGTTTTAGCACCAGGACTGCATTCCGAGTTGGTTTCTCTCAGCCGAGTTCGTTCCTGAGTCAGCAGAGCATAACTCCACCTGCTTATGTCTCTTTAGTCCGCACCATACCTGGCTTCTGAGCCTAGTTTTCAGAGAGCCTCCGGTAGTTGCTGTTATCTGTCCGCCATGTTCTCCCGGAAGTCCACTCCAGCTCTTGAGAAGAAAAAAAGAATCATGCCATGGAGGTGGGCAGGAAGGAGCTGCAGGTGGGAAAGCCAGGAAGTGCAGTGGCCAGAACTTGGGCTCTGGGCTCAAAGACTTGAGTTCAAGACTGGTTCTTACTGTGTTATAGCTCTTAACCCTTGGAACCTCTGCTCCCTCATCTTGAAACTCGATTATAGTGTCCTCCTCTCGAGGTCTTTGTGCCTGTCAAGGGAGGACACAGGGCAAGCATGGAACAGGTACGCGGCGGGCTCCCGGTAAATGGAGCTGTTTTTCCTGGAGAGGCACAGTCCCTGCACCTGTGTTAGATGATATGAAATCAGGAGGAGGCCTGGTTCCCACCCCACAGTGCTGTACTTGCCGAGACAGTAGGGAACGTGGGGGGATGGACATGATGCCAGGAGGCTGGGAGCTTGGTTCCTGCTCTAGATGCAACACTAACGTGTATGACCTTGGGCAAATCACTTTGATGTCTGTCTTCTCCTAGAAGAGGGTGGCTTGATCTAGATAATTTCTGGACCTTTCTGGGTGCTAAATTTCTATGTTTTTATGTTAATTGGGTTCTAATTGTGTGCTTCAAGCAATTAGCAAATAATAAGGTCAGGATTAATGTTCCGGATTCTCTGCTGGGTGAGGTTAGAACAGTCAGGCTGCAGAGGAGAGGGGGTGGAAGAGACTGCATGCAAATGTTTCTGGAGTCATTGACAGCATTGCTAGAGCAGTAACTCTGTGGCCTTTGTGCTGATATGCTGAGTGTCTTTAAAAAAAGAAAATTGAGCTTCCGTGCTGTCAGTTGCCTTGGTAGTGGAGTTGAGACTTAATAACTAAGAATTCTGGGTCCAGGGTCCCAGAAACAAGGTTTGGAGCTCTAGCAGTGGGCATGCAGTCCATTTGCCCAGTGCAGTGCACCTTGACACATTACCAGCTGAGCTGGAGTGTGATTGAGCCCCTGCTTTGTACTCCGTCTGCACTCGGAGCAGTGAGGAGAAAGGCGTGCTTTGTAGTGAGGCAGAACTGGGCTGAATCCTAACTTGATGTCCAGTATGTACCCCTTATATCACTTCTGGGCTATAGTTTGACCATCTGTAAAATAAAGATCACCACAGGTTTCTTCCAAGGTTTTGTAACAAAGGAACAAGCAACTTGATAACTTTTATGTTTGGTTGGTTTTGATTTTTTGAGACAGAGTCTTACTATGTAGCCCAGGCTGGCCCCAAACTCACAGTGATCCTCCTGCCTCAGCCTGCCGTACCTGTGGGATTATAGGTGTGTGCCAACACACCCAACTTGAGAGCTCTAAGGGGTGTTTCAGGGCCCTCCAATTCTCCTAGAAACTGAGGGACACATGGAAGGGGAAAGGGTGGGAGGCCATTGAGGACAGCAGTGTGGTGCAGGCTTCCATATGGGTGGGAATGCAAAATCAGCAAGGGAAGCTTGAGCTGCACCGAAATGTGGGTCAGAAAACAGGATCCGCGAGGATGTACAGGCTGTGGAGAGGTGGCGGGTCCAAGCTCCCCTTTGTGGAGCCAAGAAACGCAAAGAGTTTCCCTGTGCCCTGTCCCTCATGTGGATGGGTGAGCCGGGTGAGCAGTCAGCTACCAAGTTCCAGCCGGATCTGAGAGGAACAGCAGCTCAGACACTGGCAACCAGAAGAGCAGTGTCACTGCCCACCTTTGGCTTTCCCTGTCCTCAGCTTTTCTATAGTAATTCAACTTCACCAGGTGCTCAGTTGGCATCCTCAGAAACTAAAAGACAGGGTGGTAAAGAGTCTGATGGATTTATGTTTAAATCCCTATTGCATTGTTTACTGGCATGAAACAATAATAAGCACCTTGTTAAGCCTTCAGGGATTTTAATTCAAATCTAAAATGGAAATGGTGCCACCCTAATTGATTCAGGTGTTCTAAGACTGAACAGCGAGTGATGTTCTTGGGTCAGTGCTTGGCCTGTCATAGGCCTTCCGTGTCCTTCTTTCCTTCCTCTTTAACAAAAGACATCTCTTCCTATTTTTTTGAGACAGGATCTCATTATGTAGCTGAGCTGGCCTCAAAGCTGAGATGATCGTCTTGCCTAGTGCTGGGATTACAGATGTACCCAGCTTTGTTACAATACCACACCAGCTCATCTCCCTTTTCGTAGCCCACTTGTTTAGTGTCCTCTCTTTGCCTGAACTTCCTGGTTGCCCTATGCTGAACACAGATTCTGTCCTCCACCTGTTTGAGTGAATCCTCTCAGACTCACCCAGATGGGTACAGCTGTGACTCTGAAGTGCCTCTCGGACTCCCTGACAGCTCTGGGCTTCCCTGTCTTCTGTGCTTGGGGCCTCCCTCTGCAGGGGACAAGGTCATCACTGGTTGGTCTAGGCTACCCGCATTGAGAAGTGATGTCCCGACTTTGGCCTTCTTTACCTCCCAGGCTGCTTTTTGCCTGATGGCATTGTGCTTGTCTTTCACAGGTCCTCGTACAAGCCATCAAGGAGGCAAAGGAGCAGCACCCGGACATGTCAGTGACCAAGGTGGTCGTCCACCAGGAAACTGAGATCTCTGAGGAATGAGCTCAGGTAGGCGGTGTTCTGGCTGGGGTTGAGGACCATCGTGCCAGCTGAGAGAGCTCTGGTGGGGACTGTGGACACTCAGGGAGCCCATCACCCCAAAGAGGTGTTCACACTGGCACGTGATAAAGTAGAAATAGAGAAGATGACCACGTAGTATTTGGCTCCAGCTAACACAGCCAGGTCATTTGTGTCCTCCTGCTCTTAATGTGGCAGCAGGCTAGGTGGAAGAAAGTCTCCCAAACTTGCATGTAGGGCCCCACCCGCTGCCTGAAACCTTTATCTCCCCCTCACCGTCCCCTGCTTCTGCTGACTCCTCTGCAGGGCCAGAGAAGGATGAAAAACAGCTAGACCACAGCCGTCACCAGGTGGGAGGCAGCCGGGCTCAGGTCCTGATTGTCATTTATGGTTACTTGGCCGTGGGTCTGGGAACCTGGCTTCTTTGCAGGATTTAAAACTGTGCCTCTTTCTTTCCTCTAGGAACTGTCCTACCCCCAACTCCCTGCCCTTCTCCCATCCAAGAGAAACCAGCAAAATGATTGGGAAGCCAACCTGCAATAGTCAGACTTTAGACTTGCAAGTTCTCCTAAACCACCAGAAAATTAATTTCATTTTCTATTTGGAATTTATAACAAGAGATTCTTCTAGATATCACTGATCATTTTGAAGATCTTTTTCTATATTGTGATACCAGAAGTTGTTCAGCTTTTCACTCTGTGAACTGTTTTTAAAGAGTTCTTGGCTTTTTTATGGGGCAGTCTGTAACCCCTGCAACCTACCATCTCCCCACTTATTTCCAACCCAGATACAGACAGGGTCCACGGAATTCCGCACGATCCTCCAGGGACTCTGTCCATTGTGTTGGAGGCCAAAGCCAGCGCCATGGGACAGCCCACTCCTCTCCTCCTCTAGTCGTATTACACCCTGTGGATGACGAACAGGAACTTCATGACCCAGCTTTCTCAGAACCAATGATGTGACTTGCCAGAGTGTCAGGCAGGGTGACTGCCCTGCTCCACGGCTCTCAGAAAAATGTCCTGTCTCTTCGTCAGGCTGTTTTTGGTGAACCTCTGCTGAGAATGTAGTATTGTTTTACCCGCTTCCCCACCTGCTGTTTCAGTTTTTGGAGCTTCTTTAGGTCAGACAGAAGTTGCTTCAGATATCTCTGATACTGTGAATGCTTGAACATATCTGTGGCCTTCATCTCCCCCTCTTCCCTTGTACCTCATCAGAAACAGTGACTCTGCCAAGCTCCCCTAAGCTCCCATCTCAGGAGACCAAAACTCATGAAAAAGTAAGCACTTTTGGCCAAAAGTTCTACTGGAACCTTTTAATGGTGGTTTGGGGAAGGAAAGTTAATGAGGTTTTAAAAACTAAGGTCTCTAGTTCTGGGAGTGTGTACGCCCCAGGCGGGAATGTGGACCGTACCTCAGGTGGACCCTGCTAAGGAGCACTTCCAGGGGTCGTGGCTCGCTCTTCTGCTGTGATATGGACATGGGTCAGCAAGGTCTGTTCCTGGACCTTTTTTCCTCTGCTAGGCATCTGCCTGAGGACACCCTTCTGGAGTGAAGTTGTTACAGGCTTAGGAGCCACTTCTCCCACAGGACACCACACGGCGGCCTCAGGTCTGTCCATTCCCACTCACCTCAAGGAGGTCTGCTGGGTTCTCTAGGCTTGATTTTGCGGTGGATTTTGGATTTCAGGGTTTTTTATTTTCTATTCTTTTTTTTTTTTTTCCTGGCCTTGATTTTGAAAATGAGGCTTGATGTCCCCAATTCCTGGTAGGGATTTGGAGGCATTTTTCTTCAGTAGGGCATCTCTAATCTTCCTGCATGCTTCCTACAAGCAGATCTCCCTGGAAGCTTCTTAAAACCCTAATTCTAGGCCAGAAGTGAACTTCATGAGATTAGACAGTGGGTCACTGACAGCAGTTGCTGGGGGCTGAAGGGAAGCGAGCATGAGAAGTCTAACAGCCAGCAGCGTAGTGTCTGCATCTACTAGCTGAGTTTTTAGACAAAATCAGCTGGTTCGAACTGATTTCAAGAGTGTGCATTTTCTGTTTAGTTCTCACGTGAAACCGCTAGCCAGGGAGCCCACTCTCCAGAAGGACGTGAGAGCAGTGGGGTCTGCCACAGGCTTGGGGGGGGGAGCAGGTTGTCCTGAGTCAGGGACAGGACGTGCAAGCCTCTCGTGAGGTCTGTGGTGAGGGGCTCTGGGTGAGGCAGCAGCAGCCAAAGTTAAAACTAGGACCCATCCAACAAGCACCAATGGAGCTTGCTTCCAAGGCCAGCTGCAGGGCTCAGAGAGTGGAATCATGGGGCGCAGGGGATGCAGGAAAGGAAGAGGGGGCATACTTTGGACCCTGAGAACTCTGCTGTATGGATCCATGTCGCAGTTACAACACAGGTCCCCAGACCAACGGGCATGAACCTTCCTCAGCTCTGCCACCAGCTCATTCCTTTTCGCCTCTTTGTCTATAAATTGGACCAGAACTCTAATTTCTTTCCAAGCCTCTTCCTTGTTCCTCTCTCTGGCAACAGATCTTGGGGTTTGGCAATTGTTTTGATTTTTTTTTTCTTTCTGCAGGTGTGTGTGAGTGAGAGAGAGATAGATAGACAGACAGACAGAGAGAAAGAGAGAGAGAGAGAAGAAACAGACCCTGTCCAGGTAGAAGTGGTGAAGGTAGGGAGGACAGTTACACTTCCAGGGTCAGAGACTTGGCCACAGTTTTCCTAAAATGACTCAGACACACCACAGTAACAACTCTAGCTGCAATTTTATTTTTACTTTAGAAATAAAAATTTCCTTCAAACCGTGTGAGATCTCTGCCACCCACCCACAGAGTAAGACCTACATTTATAAGCCAAGGGCTCTGGGAGCCTGACTGCAGGGACCCGCCAGGCACCTTCACTGCATCTCCCCCAGGCTATCCCCTCTATTCTGGGGGACAGCAGTAGGGGTAAAGAGCCCACTGTCAGCTTGGAAAAGGAAGCCAGAGCTAAGGCCTGACCAGCCTCTCTGGTGCTCGTGGGAAATCTCTGCCCAGGATCTTGGCCCCAGGCTACTCATTTTTACAAATCTCTCAAATGTATTATTTTGGTGACAAAAATGAAGGAGCTTTGTAAATTTTTTTAAAAATTACGAATCATACAAAGTAGTTTACATTTCGACAAAATAGGAACTCTAGCAGCAAAATCAAATTGGCAAAATCATTAGATTACATAGGCAATAATAAGGTCTGCTGTTTTGGCATTCTGTAGTAAGAAAGTGGTTGTAGTGTTTAGTTATGTGTTTGGTCTTGGCTTCTTGTATTGCATTTTCCAATAAACTTTAAAAAAAAAACTGAGTCTGTGAGGACTGATTCGCTTTTAAATTGCTTTTCTACTAGCAACTTTTGGAAAATTAAATCTGGGTGGGAGAAACCTAAACTGAACCATTTTCTCAAGTAAACTACCCACATTGGACAGAAACGCAGCTCACTGTTGTGGAAAGGGATTTCTGGGAGCTGGAGGGAGAGTCTGCAGCCTGGCCATGGGGAAAAAAGGAGGCTTCTCAGACCTGTCTGGGAAGGGCCAGACTCAGCATGGAGGTGTTGGCAGTCGTTAGCCCTTGGAGGATGCATCCCACCACGGGGCTGAGGGAAAAAATGGTGTGAGGCAGTGGGAGTTCGGGGCTCAGTCCCCATCCCAGATGGCACAGGAGGGACTCGATTGCACCCCATTGGCCATCTTTCTTCCCGGAGGTCCATATGCTATCACCAGTGCCACTTTGGACAGAGTCTGTCCCAGCCTGAAACATTCCAACCTACCTGCCAAATATTAAGAGGTCCTTGCCCACTACTTTGGGTTTGCCAACACCAGGTGGTTCTTCCAGTCACCTTGGCCTGGGCCTCCAGCCCCCTCAGGTGCCTGTCCAGGGCTAAGGCACATACAGAGGCTGAAGAAACTCCTGAGGCCGACGCCTGTTGATCTCCACGCCCCTCACAGTACAATATTCCCTCTCTGGCTCACTGAGCACTAGTGCAGCTGGCTTCTCTGCCCACATGCAGGTCAGGATGCCTTAGCAGCTGCTGTGGCCAGAGCATCCATCCCAACCAGGGATGTGACAGAAGCAGCTGACAGACAGGAGGACTTTTCATCCTCTGCTTGTTACCATGGTCCATGGTGCAGCATCACAGGTTCCCCTTTCCCCTCAGACCCGGGCCCCCAAGTCCCCTCTTCCCCCTAATTTGGCATACCCGCCCAGACTAAGGCGATCCAGTCGTGGCCAGCTGCGGTGAGCACAGTCCCGAGCCGCTGGGGCCCCCAGGAGGAGCTCCCCAAGACCCAGGTCCAGAGACTTGGAATGTTCAATGTAGGAGCCAGAGGGCTGAACCGTGATGATCACATGGCCAGTCTGGGTCCGTGCACCCCAGGGTGGGGCCAGTCCTGGGCCCTTCAGTGGGTAGCTGTTGAGGAGGGCAGGTAATCCCAGGCGAGGATTGGCAGGCTCTGAACGCAGACTCCGCACCGACGGGACGGGTGAGGTGCCCCGACGCGGGGACAGGTCCCAACTTTCTGGCTCTGCGCAGCCTACGGCTCGGGGAGTCCTGGGGCCAGGGCTGGGAAGGAGGGCACAGTCCCAGCTTGGGCCGTCGGGGGGTCGTAGAGCCTGAGCCCGCAGCACCCCCTGGCGGAGCCGTCGCGTCTCCAAGTCTCGGTTCTCATACAGAAGCGTGTTGGCGCAGATAAACACGAACAGGCCGACGCCCATGATCACCGGCCCCAGCAGCCGCAGCCGCTCGTGTGGGCCATGGCCCCGGCCTGCACCGCGACCCTCGCGTCGCAGCTCGCTGACCTGAGGCAAGCTGGCATTGGCAGCCCGGGGCCCCGGGGCTCCGGCGCGGTGTGGCCAGTAGCCAGCCACAGCGATGCCCATGCCCACCAGTACCACGAGCGCCCCCAGCGCCGCGAACGCCCCCGACGGCGAGCGCAGCCGCAGCCGCGCCCGCACCCGCAGAGGCTCGGGCGGAGAGCGCGGGCGGCGGCGGCGGCCCAGGCGGCGGCCCAGGCGGGAGACGCGGCCCTCGGGGCTTCTCCGCACCTCCCCGCAGTCTCCGGGGCTTCCAACCGTCATCTCGCTGTCGTCCGGGCGCTCTGCGGAGAGAAGACAGGAGGCGGGCACTGAACCGACGGACGTAGGCTCGGGGCGCCAGCGCGCTCGGGCTCCAAGTCCGGGAGGGAAGCGCCGGCCGCCTCGCCTTGGCCGCTTGGAGATCCCTGGCAGCCACCCCCGGATTTTCCTGGGCCGAGAGGGAGGGAGCCGCCCCCACTCGGGTTTTCCGCAGCGGAGCTCCGAGCCAGGGATGCGCGGCAGAAGCCCGGGTTGGCCCCTTCCGCGGGCGGAGAGGAGGGTGGGGGCTGCCGGCGGCTCCCTGGCGCATCCCGGCTGCGGGGCCCAGCAGCCCGCGCCCGCTCCGCCCGCTCGCGGTCCAGGGACTCGGAAAGCGGTCCCCGGGCAGCGCGCTCCAGGTGAGTCCCGCCCCACCCCCGCACGTGGCAGCTCGGTAGTCACTGGGGAGGGGGCGCGCAGGCCGCCGGGGGCTCCACGCGATCCCCACCCCGCGATTCACGTACCGCAGCGCGGGAAGGAGGGGGCGCCACTGACTCCCGCTCTCCTTCCTGCCCCCTCCTTCCAGACTTCCTCAGTCAGCGCCGGGGCTGCAGCAGGAGAGATTCGAGCTAGACTCCGAGAAGACCGCCCTGACCGGGCCAGCCAGTCAGAGGACGGGAGGCAGTAGCAGAGTTCGTCCAGGATTTGTCTCAACTCCGCAAGAAGAGGCCTCCCCCCGCCCCTGCGGCCCGGCCGGAGCCAGGGGCTGCAGTGCTGAGCGCGGGGCCTCGCGGCCGACTCCCCGCTCCGCTCTCCCGTCGGCCCAGGCAAGGCTGCTCCTAGGTTGCGGCGTTTCCAATTCGGGATCCTCGGGATGAATCATCCCTTTCGCGCCGCCTGGCCTCCTTTCCGGCCTCCTCCGCCCTAGGCCTCAGTGGACCCCGTCCCGGGCCAAAGCAGCACCGCCTGAGGCCTGGGGTGCCGACCCGCACAGCTGACGCCCCTCCAGGCTGCTGGTTGCGTCGGGTCGCAGCCCGAGCGGGGGACCTGGTGCTGGCAGAGGCAGCCAGGCTGTGCGTGGCGTGGCCCCTACAAAGTCTGCGTCCCCGCGCCCCCAATCTGGTTTCCGCACAGCTGCAGCGCTAGGAGCTCCAGCCAGGCCTCGGGGCGGAGGCCCCAGCACTGTGCCCGCGCCGCTGCCGCACCCGAAGCGCAGGCGGGACCGACCTGGCCTCTGGCCGCAGCACCGAGACCTGGGGCCTAGCGGGGAGCTCAGGGCCAGCCGTGTCCAAAGTCGGGGTTCGCAGATGGGAACCGAGGCCCAGGAGAGCACAGGGGCCGGCTAGGACCCAACGCCGCAGAGCCTGGGCCTTGGGCACAGCCACAGGAGTGTCCCAAGAGCAAAAGAGAGTCGACCCCCTTGTCCCGAATGTGGAGCCCTTTTGCCAGCCTGAAACCAAAGGAGTGACCACCCCGCCTCGAACCAGAGCTGGCACCCAGCCCCTGCTCCTGAAATCTCACTCTCCTAACCCAGCTGATCCCTGCTAAGAGGCGACAGCACAGCACGCAGAGCATTCAGGCGACATGTTCGCAGGCCTCAAGGCTCTGAGGGACATGAGGCGACGCTGGGGACCCCAGGGAGGCGGACACTTGGACACACAGCCCACTGGTCTCGGGAAGTTGCTCGGACGGAGCCCCCAGTACTCCCGGGTCCCGTCACCGCCCGCACCCACACTCTGGCCCGGGGAGAGAGAAGACCAAGGCCCTCGAAAGGGAGGAGCCAAACAAAAAGTTAGGGAAAGTGGGTGACCAGCCCGTGGCCCCTAGTTCTGCTCACCTGGCCCCACCGCGCCCGGACGGTCGGGCTCCAAGTCCGCGCCGCGACTCCCCGCGCCGCTTTGGTCTCCGAGAGTCCCGCCCCGGCCCCGCCCCGCCCCGCCCCGGAGCCCCTGGGACCCGGCGGCGGCGCCACCCAGGGCGGGAAAGCGCGGCTCGGCCCCCCGGGCCGCAGGTGAGCGCCGCTGCGCGCCTGGAGGCTCCAAGGAGCCGGGCGCGAACCCCGCCATCCGCGCGCCCCACCTCCCAGCCTCCATCGTGCGCCAGGGGCCGGGAAGAGCGACCCTCGGCCCCGCGCGTTCGGAATCTCGCCGCCGGCATCCGGGGAAGGCAGCCGCGCCGTCTGCCCCGAGAGGTGCCCGGGGGCGATACCGGGCCTCGAGGGCAGCGCCCCCCACACAGGGCGCAGCCAGGCACCGAGCCCTCGGGGAGCAGCACCCGCGGGCGAGGACGCTGGGGAAGGCGGGCGCTGCGCCCGGGCCCGTGCCGCGGAGCCGGCCAAGTCGCGCTCACCCCACTGGGGAGCCGCGCTCGCCCCCCAGGAGGGAGCGGCGACCCCGCGACGGCCCCGGCCCGACGGGGACAGAAGGAATGCGAGAGGGCCGGGCCGGGCCGGCCGCCAGTTTCCATGATGCGGGGGGCGGGCTGCGCTGCGGCCGGGCCCTCGGGAGGATTTCCGGCCTGGGATTGATTACGCCCCTCCCCCGCCGCGGGACCCCCAGCTCCGGGCGGGGAGGGGCGGTAATGAGGCCGGCTGGCGCGAGGCTAAGAGCGAGGGAGCGGCGGACGGGGCTGTGCCCCCTGAGAGCCCGACAACCTTGGGAGGACCTCGACCGCCCCGAAGGAGGGCAGGAGGCAGGAGGCGCGGTGCGGGTCCAGCCCCGGCCCGCTCGGATGGAGGTGTGGAGAGCTGCCCCTGCCTGCCTCCCTCCTGCTCTCCGGACCCCTGCCCATCGACCTCCTCTTCTCCCTTCCCAAGCAGACTCCAGACTCCGCAGCCAGACCCTCAGGCCAGGCTCGCTGCCCTTTCTGGGAACCAAGCTCTGGACTGTCCTACTGCCTTCACCCTCCTGTGGCCACCCTTCTCCCTGCTCTGGGACCCCTTACTCTCCCTGCTTGCCTTTCCTTCCTCTCTGTCCTCCCTGGGTGTTGGGGCTCCTCTCAAGTCCACCTTCATTTTCAACCACTGGACACCTCCCTGAGCCTCTTGTCACCTTCCCACCCTCATCGGGTGAAGAACCCCACTGACCATCACAGTGCACTAGGGTCCCCCCTAGGCTCTTTACTCTTCCTCCTCCACTCCGTCAAGCCCTTCAGACAAGCACCAAGCATCTTTCTACCCTAAATCTGACCCTGCCACTCCCTGAACGAGACCCTCTAGTGGTTCCCCAGCACTGTCCAATACACATTAAAATCCCTACTTATGTCCACAGATGGCCTCTGGCCCCTAAGGTCTGTGGGCCCGTGTGCCTGAACTTACTTTTGTCCTCAGACCCTCTGTCCTTTGGGGACCCGGCATGTTCCTGCCCCCACCATCCTTTCCTCCTTTTTATCCCCCTTCTTTTCTCCCTTTCGCTCTCCTTTTTTCTTCTCCTTTTGTCTTTCCCTCCTCTTTTCCTTCTTTTTTTCTTTGATTGAACCCAGAGCCTTCACAGTGAGCTACATTAGAAAATGTTATGTTTTAAGATTGGGTCTTGCTAAACAGCCCAGGCCATCCCCTACTTTTGATCCTCTTGCCTCAGCCTCCCCGAGTGTTGGGATCACAGACATGCTGTACCATGTCACCTGTTTCCCTGATTGTCACCTTGCTGCTGCTCCCTTACTGCTCCAGGCCTTCTCCCGGCTCCCCAGTCAGTTTGGCTCCTCTCTACTCCTCCACAATAAGCCCTTGTGCCCCAGGAGTATCCCTGCACACATGCCATTTGGAATTGCTGGGGAATCGAGTGTTTCCTGCGAGGGTCACCTGGGCCTGAGTTCTGACATGCAGGGCTGAGTCTGCCTTGCACGTCCTGGACCCTGGGTGCTAGGACTGTGTGCAAGGTCTGTGCCCCACCACCACCAGAGCTCCACCTTTTCTCCACCTTTGAGCTCATCCCTAACAGAAGACAGAAGAGTCAGCCCTCAGAGTCTCGGTGTCCCAATCCATAAAAAAGCAGGAAATAATACTGACCTGCTAGTGTCATTCTGAAGGTTAAATAAGAGTGCAAGCACCTGGCACAACCTGATGCCAGCAAATAGCTTCTCCCTGCCCTGACCATGGAGTTTTGAGTGGAGAGGCAATGTATGGGGCTGTGGAAACCTTCCCCAGGTCATTTTGGGTGGTCCCCTTTCCCAGGTATAATCCGAGGAGTTCTCTGAAGAGTTCTGGGAGTCTGATAGGTCTAGTTTATAGATGCTGAAACTGGCTGAGAGGGCACAGTGCTGCCCACAGGCCCAGCAAGACAGACCAAGTCCTCCCCGTCTGCAGAGGGACCTCCTCCCTCCTGTGTGGCTCAGTCCTGCAGAAACCTGTGCATGGTAGCCAGTAGTTCAGCTTGGGGACACTGACTGCCCCCATCAAACCTGCCCTGGCTTCTGTGTGACCTGTGTTCCTTTCCTCTGACCAGGAGGGGCCTGGATTAGATGTCCCTTGGGGATTGTACCATGTGCAATTTCTCCCTGTTGCTCCTGAGACTCCATGTCCTCTCCAGAAGCCAGCAAGGGCAAGGGCAGGAACAGAACAAACTGTCACCTTCTCAAGCACAGCCCCATTCTGGACCGCAGAATTTTAGCTTCTGTCCTCCGTGCTTTAGGAACAACAATCCTGGCCCCGTGGGCTGTTTCGGCTTTCCTGCCCCTGCTGCCGCCCCAGTCTCTGGTGACTTGGGAGAGCACTCAGAGGGCACTGCCTGATGCCAGTGGGTCCTGTATACGTGGTGCCGTGCAGCTCCCACCCAGAGACCTCCACTTCAGCTAAGAAGTCAGAGCCCGTTCGAGGGCAGAAAGAGTACTGCTCGGGTCCCAGCTTTGATCATGCTGCTTGGCTGCAGGGTGACATTAGGCGAGTCACAGCAGTCCTTGTTGCTCCTTCCTGTCATGCGTCCTCCACAGCCAGGATCTTGTGTGGACTGAGTGATAGCTGATTGGCAGGTAGAACCCCTGGGACCCAGAGAGGGACAGTGACTTGCACATGATGGCAGAGCTGGACTCCAAGCCCCACTATCACAAGTCCCACTCTGAGTCCCTCAGAGAGCAGGTCCATGGGACAATGAACCCCAAGTCCATCTCCTACCATCCATGGAAGCCAGGTGCTGGGAAGTTGTGGGCTCCTAACCAGGTGTCTCTGGGCTGTTCCCAAAGTCCTAGGCACACTGAGCTTCTGTCTCCAGTGCTCTCTGAAGCCCAGAGGAGCCTGGGTGAAGCTGGGGTGTTCTAGGGAGTGACACCTTCATGGAGGACAGGGAAAGCCCAGGCTCCAGCAGGAGCTGTTGGCACCTCACTGAGCTACCAGGCCCTTTTGCATGGTACTAAAATATGGGAAACGAGCCCGTGAGCAGGTGTGCGCTCACCTCCATCACAGGTGGAAACGAGGCTCGTGAGGCCCAGGCTTGCTGAGGTCAAAGGCAGAGCCCGGATCCAACAGCAGCATTAGACCGAAGTGGCGGCCTGACCATGCAAGGGTTTGCTTGGCCTTCAGATGGTGACTGCTCAGCAGTTTTTCACCTATAAAATGTTAAACCAATGCCAGCGATTATGTTTTTAGACACCTCTTCTGGGCTTTTGGGGACTAGAGAGGGCACAGCCCAGGGTCCCATCCAGATGCTTCAGGAGAAACATATATCCCCAAAACCAGAAAGCAGCAGCTGGTTACTTGGGGAAGTTCTACCCAAGTCACCTCTGAGCAGTGCGTTCACCTGTCTCACTGTCTATTTCCTCATTGGACTGTGGGTCACTTGCTGAGCTCCCAGGGGAGCCAAGAGCTCACAGAGCCCTGCTGGAAACCCTTAGCTGGTGTTATTATTTTATTATTTCTACTGCAACTCACTTAGCTCGGAATTCTACCTATTCTCTGCCCCTTTAAAGAAAAACCTGTTGAATATTCCAATAGGATCAGGCACTTTTTCCTGGCCAGCCAGTTGGGGAGTAGAGGGAGGGGATGGGGTCAGACACCACCAGAACAAAGGCTGGGGTACAGATGCTGGAGTCCAGGGCTGACAGGTCCCTACGAGTGACTCCCAGCCTTGGGAGGTGGGTCGGTTGGACCTTCGCAATTGAGGGATCTGCCAACAGCTTGAAGAGGGCTACTGGTTGGAAATTTGGCCACGGGCACCTGCCTGTCAGCCATGGACTCGGCCACAACTTGTGGGTTCCACAAAGTTCTGAGGCTGGAGAGCCTTGTGAAGATCTGTCTCTCTAAGGGGCTGGGGATTTAGCTCAGCGGCATAAGCTCCTGCCTTGCAAGCAGGCGGTTGTGAGTTCGATCCCTGGTACAGGTAAAAAGGAAAAAGACAAAAAAAAAAAAAAAAAGATCTGTGTCTCTCTGTTTTTTCCCTCTATGTTTTTTCCCTGGGACTGCCATGTCACTCAGTAGGAAACACGGGGCCAGAGAAACGTCAACAGAGAAAATGTGTTCCCCTTCTTTCCACCATGTACATTAGGCAGATGGCGCTGCTGGGTAGAGAGGCAGCCCTGGGAGGGGAGCGGGCTTCGGTCTGCCACAGTGAGGACACCAACAAGAAGTTGGGGTTTGCCAGACACAGTGGCACACACCTGTGATCTCTGCTTTTCAGGACACTGATGCCAGCCTGAGCGGTGTAGTGCAACCCTATCTCAAAAGTTCCAAAAGGGATGAGCAGATAGCTCAATGGTAGCGCCCTTGCCCAGCATGCACAAGGCCTGGGTACCATCTCCTGTACTGCAAGGAAAACTGGATTTGCTGTGAACCATGTGATGGGAGTCGTTTGTTACTGCAGCATAATCCACTGAGAGCTGACTAATATGCTGGCGGTGTAAAGCTTGTAAATAGCAGCTAATCATGGGCTTGTTTTATTTCAGTACAGAATGAGGCACCCGGCT